GTAACGCAGCACCCTCTTAGCAGCCTCCCAGTGCTCTCGCCTGTGTCTCCCAGGCGCAACGTAACGAGCAAGGATGCTAAGAGGGTACGCGAGGTCAGGTCGCGTGCAAGTCATCAGGTACATGAGGCAGCCTACAAGCTCTGGGTACGGGCCACTCGGCTCTACGGACTCGTCCGAAGGTGGAGCTGAGAGCGAGTGGCTGGTAGCCAGAGGTGTGGCCTGTGGTGAGGAGAACTGGAAGCCGAAGCGCTGAAGGACCTGCTGCACCATGTGTGACTGAGTCAGGGTGATGGTGCGGCGAGCTCTGTCCCGGGTGATCTGCAAGCCAAGGTAGCTACGCAGTTCACCCAGGTCAGTGCAGGTGTGTCTCTTCTGCAGCTCCGACTTCACACGAGCGAGTGCCTCAGTGTCAGCAGTAGCAAAGACCAAGTCGTCGACGTACACGAGAATGTAGAACGGCGGCAGCGACGTGTCTGTGCGCAGAAACAGCGACGGGTCAGCAGTAGACGGCGCGAACCCAAGAGCCGCAAGAGTAGTCCTCAGTGTGTCGTGCCACTCACGTGGCGCCTGGCGGAGACCGTAGACTGGCCGGCGGAGACTCCACTGGGTACCAGGGGGAAACGACCCAGTAAAGCCAGGTGGGCGGCGCAGCCAGATCTCCTCGTGCAGGCTGCCCTGCAGGAACGCTGTGCTGAAGTCAAGAGAGTGAAGCTCGTAGTCACGCTGAGCAGCAACGTGCAGCAGAACCCGAAGAGTGGTCATCTTCGGGGTGGGGGAGAAGGTCTGGAAGAAGTCGACCCCCTGACGCTGACTGAAGCCTCTAGCAACGTAACGAGCCTTGAAGACAGGCGGAGAACCTGGCGGCCGCTTCACCCTGAAAATCCACATGCCATCGACGATGTTCGCCCCAGGAGGGGGAACCTCGTCGACGTAGGTGCCTGTGGACTTCCAGGATGCCATCTCTGCGTCCATGGCTGTCTGCCACTGAGAGGAGTAGGGACCCGAGATCGCCTCTGCGTAAGTGCGCGGAGTGGGGATGTCTAGTGCATCCGGGTCTCCCTCAGGGGCAAGCAACCAGGCCACGAGATGAGGTACAGCAGCCGCAAGAGAGTCAAAGTCCTCCTGCCTGTCCTCAAGGACGTCCGTGCCAAGAGCACACTCACCCCCGACGGACGGAGGACAGACAGACACAGACTCTGACTCAGCAACAAGGCTAGCAGCGTAGTCTAGACGACAGGCAGCAGCAAAGTCAACCAACTCAGCGACCAGAGCAGACGCAGCCGAGGACTCAAAGGTAGGGTCAGTGACAACAGTAGCGAGGAGACGCGTGACTGTAGGGTGCTCAGCGCGATACCGGTCAGACTCAGGGTCCGGAACGGCAGGCAAAGAGGACGCAGGAGGAGACGGTAGAGGGACACGCCGAGGAGCAGTAGAGGGACGCAGAGTCATGTAGTGAGTGCCTGGGACAGGAGGAGGACGCTCACGACGGACACGACTACCAGTGCGAGCAGGACGAACAGGCGACGCAGGACGAGACTCAGGCTCACGACGCTCTGTAAGACCTCCTGTGGGACCAGTATAAGGAGAGGGAGCAGGGAGAGGCGAGGCAGGCGGTAACTGTGACTGCGGCTGGACAGGCGGAGGACACTCTACGAAGGGAGGAGGACAAGGAGGAGGAGCCTGCCCAAGAACCTGCTGAAGGAGCGGTACGAAGTACGGTCGCGGCCGCGCAGCGTCTCCAGAAGCAGAAGGGACTCCAGCGGCCGGGTCCTCAGCACCAGTAGGAGCTCCAGCGTCCGGGTCCACAGCACCAGCAGCAGCTCCACCGTCCGACTCCTCAGCACCAGCAGCAGCTCCACCAGGTGGGTCCGCAGCACCAGCAGCAGCGCCACCCCCAGAGTCGGCAGCTCCAACTCCGCTAGCACCGCCAGCGCCAGAGTCCCCAGCTCCAGCAGCTCCAGTCGCAGTGCTCCCAGAACAGCCAGTCCCGGCAGCTCCAGTACCCCCAGTACGAGCACCCCCAGGACGAGCAGCTCCAGCACCCCAAACTCCAGCCGAGCCACTAGGACGGCGAAAGCGTCGGACGTACCAGTCACGAAGCTGCTGCGGTGTGAGAGACTGCTCAGCACCCCGAACCGGAGCACCCCCAGACGCAGTAACCCGAGGCTCCGTAGGCTCAGTAGCAGCACCCCCAGGCTCAGTACCCGCAGGCTCAGTACCCGCAGGCTCAGCACCCCCAGTCGCAGCACCCCCAGGCTCAGCACCCCCAGGCGGCAAACTCTCAGGCACAGTACCCTCAGCTCCAGCACCCGCAGTCCCAGCACTCCCAGGCCCCGCACCCGCAGGCTCAGCACCCCCAGGCGCAGCACCCCCAGGCTCCGTACTCTCAGGCACCGTACCCTCAGCTCCAGCACCCTCAGTCCCAGCACCTGCAGCCCCAGCACCCCCAGGCCCAGCACCCCCAGGCTCAGCACCCCCAGGCTCAGCACTCCCAGCAGCACCACCCGCAGCAGCACCTGAGTCACCTGTGACCTCGACAGGCTCAGCGACGGGAGGAGGGTCTACCTGAGAGACACCTGAAGGAGCAGGACCCTGAGGGGGAAGGGGGTCTACCGGAGGGGGACCAGGAGCAAGGAAAAGCGGCGGGGGAGGGAGGGGGGCAGTGCGGTAGGGGAAGAGACGGTAAAAAGGGACCGACTCGTCAAAGGTGACATCCTGAGAGGCGAAGACCCGGCGCGAGGTGGGGTGGTAAAACTGCCAGCTAGGCGCGTCAGGGACAAAGCCAAGGAAGACACAGGGAAGCGTGCGGGAGGAGAGCTTGTCCGCGGACGTATCGCGGACAAGGGCACGAGCACCCCACACCCGGAAGCGCGACGCATCGCCAACCTCCCCCGTCCAACGCAGTGTGGGCGAGGTCTCCGGTAAGGAGACACGGGGCCAGAGGTTGAGCTGATGCGCGGCGTACCGGACAGCAAACGGCCACAGAAAATGGGGAGCCGCCGCGTGGACCAAGGAGGTACGAGCGACCTCCATGACCAGGCCAATGCGGCGCTCAGCAACCCCATTCTGTTGTGGGGAGTCCGGAAGCGTGAAGGTCTGCTCGATGCCCTCCGCCTGACAGAAGGTCCTCAAGAGATCGGAGGAAAACTCACCACCTCTGTCAGAGTGCAGACGCAGGACAGGAAGATCCGTCCGGAAACGGCGGCGGAGCTGGAGACGAACGGTGCGGATCCAAGGGATCAGAACAGCAGGGACCTCACCCTTGGTGCGCAAGGGGAAGACCGTGGTGTAACGCGAGTAGTCGTCGACAACCAGCAAAAAGTACCGCTCACCGCCCTGACCACGAACGCGGGCTGGGCCCCACACGTCCAGGTGGAGGGTCTCCAGAGGAGCCTCTGTCGGGGGGAACGAGGAGGAGTGAGGAGCGGCGCGCTGCCGCCCCTCGACGCAAGGAAGGCAAGGCGGCGCAGGCGAGGCAGGGAGGGGAGGGAGGGACCTGGGAAGACCGGACACAAGGAGGCGACGGTGCATGCCACGAAGGCGTGGCAAGGAGGGGTGACCCAGGCGGTGGTGCCAGAGAAGAGTCTGGTGCGACAGGGAACGACACTCACAGGCGTGGGCCACCAGACCTGACGCAGACACCTGACCGACAGCAGCTACCTGGGGAGACGCAGTGGTCAGTGTGTAGAGACTCGACCCCGGCCGACGGGTAAATGTAGCCAGGTGACGGCCGGTCCTGGAGCACGTGCAGATCGCCACACGCTGTCCGCCAGGGGTAAAGGTGTCAACCCACTGATCCTGGAGGACAGCGTTGCTCACCAGGTTCGTCGAGAACGAGGGGAGGTGGAAACCCGACAACGAGCCAGACGGAACCGCCGGACAAGGGAGGACAGTGGTGGACTGGGCAAGGACTGGGCCCCCAGAGGGGTCAGCCAAGGAGACTGGGACCGGTGCAGGAAGCGGTGTGAGCTCAGTACTGTCACGAAAGAAGCAACGGGAAGCACCTGAGTCAAGGGTGAAGGTGTGACAGGCCTCAGCCGGTGCGGTACCTGAGAGAGGAGTCTGTGTGGGTGCTGTACCTGAGAGAGCAGACTCGAAACTAGCCGGGACAGCACTGGGGGGAGCAAGTACAGGGGGCACCATACCAGAGAGAGCAGACTCACTAGTACCCAGGGCAGCGGGCTCTATACCTGGGTCAGGCGGCACACACAAGTAACAGTCTCCCTCGGCACTAACAGTCAATGCATACATGGCAGCAATAATAGCATCATAGTCAAGAGCAAAGACATCAACACCAGCCCTCATGAGCTCAGCCCAGCGGGGGCGCTCAACATCCGCACCCATCTCCTCACGCCAAGCGTCGTCAAGGCGGGAGAAGCAGCGGTACGGGGTGTGGAACCTCCCACACGTCTGTCCCTTGCGGTCACCTGTGCGAATGACATAAGAACAGCGTGCACTGGCCCCCGACGTCCCACGCTGAGCAAGCCACTCACGAAGCTGCTGGGTCGTCTGGGGACGCTGCTGCTGCTGGGAGCTCTGGCCCGAGCCAGTGCCTCCACTCCGACCTCCGCCACCACCACTACCTCCGCTCCGACCGCCACCGCCGCCGCCGCCACCGCCGCCACCGCCGCCACCGCCGCCGCCGCCACCACCGCCACTGCTCCCTCCGCCGCCCCCGCCTCCGCTGCCGACCCCACTCCCACCAGCACTCCCGCCACCGCTCCCTCCAGCACCGCCTCCCCCCCCACCTCCCCCACCTCCTCCCCCCCCAGCGCCACCCCCGCCACCCTTGCCCCCCTTGCCCTTGCCGGTGCGGCGCCTCCCACCAGGAGCAGAAGCAGCGCCAGCAGACTCAGCACCAAGGAAGTCAACAGCAGCAGCAGTAGTGTAGGAGGGAGCGAGGGGAGAGGGAGAACACCCCTCAAAGATGGGGGTGCGAGGAGCGCCACGAGCAGCACCGACAGCTACAATGCTCTTTTCGGCCGCTAGCAGCTGCTCCTCTAGGAGGGCGACTGTGAGCTCAGTGGGACAGCGAGCAAGGAAGTGGTCTCGAACTGAGCTGAGGGTGTCAGGGAGTCGGGTGACTATGAAGTGGAGTGTCCAGTACAGTGGAGGGGGGTTCTTAGCGCAGAACTCGGTGGGAAGGGCAGCACGCAGGCGAGCATCACTAGTGCGAAGGTGGGTGATAAGATCGGCGACTGTAGTAAAGGTGGACAGATCGGGGAACAGGTACGGCAGCATGAGGCGGCTAAGCTCGGCTGTGGCAGGCGAGGAGTAGCGAGCGACGACAGCGTCGTACAGGGCCTTAGCGGATTTGCAGTCGCCAAAATGCTCTAGCTCAGCTAACGGCAGGTGACTGCGAATGGCTAGGCGAGCAGCTGCGTCACGAGTCTGCCAGTGGGAACGAACACTAAGCTCAGCTGTGGCAGGAGGGGCAGGCGCAGCACCAGACGCGTAATCATAGAGCGACACATGCTCCTTGCTATCGCTCAGGAGGAACAGCTGCAGGTCATCTAGCCAAGCGGTGAACCGCACAGGGCGGCCCTCAGCATCGAACGACAGCACGCGGATGGAAGCCATAGCGACAGTGTGACAGAGTAACGCAAGCTGCCGCAGCAGGGGAAGGCGACTGTGCACGGATAGAGAGCAGCGGGCGAGGCTGGCGCTACGGGCAGGCGGCGCTGCAAGCGGTCAGCGCGACGGGAGGGCGACGCTGCGAGCGGGCAGCGCGGCGGACGGGCCGGGAAGCGGGCAGCGCGGCGGGCAGGCGGCGCTGCAAGCGGGCAGCACGGCGGGCGGGCGACGCTGCGAAGCGGGCAGCGGGGCGAGCGGGCTGCGATGCGGGCGGGCCGCGAAGTGGGCAGCTAGCGGGCGGGCGGGCTGCGAAGTGGGCGGGCCGCGAAGCGGGCAGCGGGCGGGCGGGCTGCGTAGCGAGCGGGCCGCGAAGCGGGCAGCGAGCGGGCGGGCGGGCTGCGAAGTGGGCGGGCCGCGAAGCGGGCAGCGGGGCGAGCGGGCTGCGAAGCGGGCAGCGAGCGGGCGGGCGGGCTGCGAAGTGGCGGGCCGCGAAGCGGGCAGCGAGCGAGCGGGCTGCGAAGCGGGCGGGCCGCGAAGCGGGCAGCGAGCGAGCGGGCTGCGAAGCGGGCGGGCCGCGAAGCGGGCAGCGAGCGGGCGGGCGGGCTGCGTAGTGAGCGGGCCGCGAAGCGGGCAGCGAGCAGGCGAGCGGGCTGCGAGCGGGCGGCTCGGCGAGGGGCGCGCGAGGGCGCTAGTGAGGGGCGCGCGAGGGCGCTAGCAAGGGGCGCGCGAGGGCGCTAACGAAGGGGCGCGCGAGGGCGCTAACGAAAGGGGGCGCGCGAGGGCGCTAACGAGGGTGCGCGCGAGGGCGCTAACGAGGGGCGCGCGAGGGCGCTAACGTGGGCGCACGAGGGCGCTACGAGGCTAGGGCACGGGGTAGCGTGGTAACCGCATGCGAGCGGTGGTGGGCCCTTAAAAAAAAAACGGTCGGTAGGTCCTAGGGACCTCCTGCTCTGAATACCATCTCATAATCACTAGGCAAGAATGAATCAACTAACAGAAGTTTGGGTACAAATATGAAACCCTAGTTGGGGTTGTACCCCATATTGGCTACCCCACTACAGCCTACAAGCATAATACAGTTTAACAGGACGACGTAACCAGACCTCCTCGTGTAGGCTACCCTGAAGGAAGGCAATGGAGAATATGAGAGAGTGTAACTTGTAGTCTCTCTGTGCTGCTACGTGAAGTAACACCCGAAGAGTGGTCATCTTCGGGGTAGGTGCGAAGGTCTGAAAGAAGTCAACTCCCTCGCGCTGACTGAAGCCTCTAGCCACATAGCACACCTTGAAGACCGGAGGAGATCCCGGTGGCCGCTTCACCCTGAAGATCCACATGCCATCGACTACGTTCGCCCCAGAGGGGGGAACCTCGTCGACATAGGTGCCTGTGGGTCTATAGGAGGCCATCTTTGCGTCCATGGCGGCTCTCCCTTGAGAGGCCCAAGGCCTTGACACTGACCAACAAGGCCCTGACGGGAATGAATGCAAGGTGGGCGATTCGGATGTCAAGGTGGCTCAGCGTATGTGCAAGGAGTCGGTATGTCAAGGGCGTCGGGGTCTCCCTCAGGGGCGAGGAGCATGGCACAGAGATGAGGAGAAGCGGCTGCCAGGAACTTTAGCACAAAATGCCTGTCCCCTAGGGCGTCACGCCTAAGGGCAGACTCACCCCCGACCGCCAAAAGAACGGGTAGGAGAAGCAGCAACAACACGAGCAGCGTAGTCAAGACGGCGAGAAGTGGCGAACTCAGTGACAGCGGTAGTAAAGGCGGAGACAGACGACAGTGATGCACAAGGGTCGGTAACAAGAGAGGCGGGAACACGAGAGAGAGCAGGAAGGTACGTGCGGTAGTAGTCAGTGACAGGAGTAGAGAGGGAAGCAGTGAGGGCCGACTCAGGAGGAGAAGGAAGCATAGACAAAGACGGTCGAGGCGGATTAGAACGAAACAGGTCTGTACGAAGGTCAATGATAGGGACAGGGGACGAGGGACGAGCACGAGGAGAGCGAGAAGCCCAAGTGTGAGAAAGAGGATGGGACAGCGGAGGCTGAGAATGGGGGAAAACAGCTGGGGTGGGGTCAGGAGGAGGAAGCGTGGGACTGTCGACAAGTGGGGAGAGAGGGGGAGGAGGGAGGAGAGGGAGAGGGAAAGGGGAGACCCAAGGTCCGAAGGCGAAAGACAGGAGGTGGAGGTGGCGACTGCTGCTGCTCCTGCTGCGGCAGCTGGGGCTGCTGCTGCTGCGTCTCCTGCAGCGGCTGCTGCTGCTGCTGCTGCTGCTGCTGCTCCTGCTGCTGCGGCTGCTGCTTGTGCTGCTGCTCCTCCAGCTGTCGTAGCTCCAGCTGCTGCCACTCCAACTCTAGTCCCTCTGCCTCCAACACAAGCTGCTCCTCACGTGCACGGCGAAGACGGGCCTGGTGCCGTGTTGGGTACGGATGCGGGCGCAGAGTTGTGTTTGGGGCAGGGGCAGCCCCAGGACTACCCTCCAAGGCACCAGCCGCACCACCACCACAGCCAGCACCACTAGAAGTAACACGGTAAGTCCCAGGCTCTCCGGGTCCAGCAGAGGGCTCACCTACACCTCCAATCGTAGCACCCCCAGGGACAGCTCGACTAACACCAGCTCCCCGAAGACTAGAGTCTCCTGCAATTACGGGCTCAGCCCCAACTCCAGCACCTCCAGAACGAAGACCTCGTACAGGTACACACTCAGCTCCAACGCCAACACCTGTAGAGCTAGCACCTCCAGGGTCCTCCACACAAACACCAGCTCTCGCAGGGTGTGCGGTAGGTTGTGAGGAGGACAGCGGGGAAGGGGACGGCGCCTGAGGGGCTACCGGGGGGGGGGGGGGGAGGGGGGGTAGCATGTGAAACACCTGACGGGGCTGGACCAAGGGGGGAGGGGGGGGGGACTGTACCGAAGGATAAGGATCAGTAGGTTGTGAAGAGAACTGCAGGGAAGGAGGCTGCACCTGAGGGGCTACCAAGGGAGGAGGGGTAGCGTGGGACACACCTGTCAGAGCTGGACCATGGGGGAGAGGCTGTACCGGGGGAGCAGGAGGGGGAGCGGAAGTCAGGAAGAGAGGGGGAGGAGGAACCGGGAGACCTCGACAGGGGTACCGGACGTAGTAGGGGACTGACTCATCGAAACGGACGTCACGGGAGTCAAAGAACCGGTGAAGGGGAGGGTGGTAAAAGGTGAAGTCAGAGGAGTCCTCTGGGAAACCAGGGAAGACACAGGGAATGGCTCGAGTCGAGATCTTGTCCGCGGAGGTGTCGAGAACAAGAGCCAAGCAACCCCAAACACGAAAACGCAACACAACACGAGGAAACCCGGTCCAAAGACTGGTCGGTGAAACCTCTGGCCGACAAGGAGACACGGGGCCAGAGGTTTAGCTGGTGAGCGGCGTACAGAACCGCGTAGGGCCATGAAAATTGGGGGGCACGGGCATGAGTCAACGAGGTGTAGGCGATCTCCATGACCAAGCCAATGCGGCGCTCAACAACCCCATTCTGCTCGCGACAGAATCCAGCGAGGACGCCGAAGCAAAACTCACCCCCGCGGTCGGAGTGAAGACAGCTGACACGACGACCACGAGTGTCCGCAGTGGTAAGCAACCACCTAATCAGCGTAGAAGTCACCTCAGACTTCTTTGCCAGGGGGAACACTATGGTGTAGCGGGAGTAGTCATCGACGATCACCAGAAAGAAACTCTCTCGCTCAGGGCCAGGGCGAGAGGCGGGGCCCCAGACGTCCAAGTGGAGAGTCTCAAAGGGCTCGGTGGCTGGACGAAGGGAGGAGGACTAAGGGGTGGCGTGCAGCCGGCCCTCGACGCAGGGACCACAAGGTGGTGCAAGCGAAGGTGGTAGCGACGGCAAGACACGCGTGGGGCCTAAGACAAGACGCTGACTAGACATAGTGCGCAGGCGAGGAATGGACGGGTGCCCCAGCCGGTGGTGCCACAGAACGGTGGGGTGGGCAAGTGACCGGCAGGAGCAAGACGAAGCAACTGGACCAGACACGTGAACCTGACCGGACACAGCTACCTAATGAGTCGTGGCAACCTGGTGAGACGCGGGGACCTGACGGGGGGCAGTGACAGGGGTCGGGATGAGTAGCTGCTACTGCTGCTGCTGCTGCTGCTGCTGCTGCCCTCGGGGGCCAGTGTGAAGTGTGTAGAGACCAGAGCCCGGCTCAGCGGTAAAGGTGGCCAGAGGCACGTACGTGTCACTGTCTACACAAACCGCAGTCTCCCCAGAAGGCTCAATCCAAACACCCACGTGACTACTCACGAGCGGCCTCACACCCACCAAGTTCCTGGAGAACGAGGGGACGTGGAAGCCCGTCAGGAAACCCGAGGGAACAGCTGGGCACGGAAGCGTAGTAGTGTAGCGAGCAGTGACTGGTCCCGAAGTGGGATCAGCCAGTGCTACAAAGGCTGGCACCGGAAGCGGAGTAAGCGTCGTGTGGTCACGGAAGAAACAGTATGAAGCTCCGGAGTCCAGAGTGAAAGACAGCGAAGCGCCCTCCGGAGCGGCTCTTGGACTGGTATCTACACAAGTACCTACACTAGCAACAGGCACCTCAGCAACACTAGCACCTAAGCTAACAACACTCGAGTAAACAGAGTCAGACGCGCTAGAGTCAACAACAACATACATAGCATGAGGAGTTCCTAAGGGATCAAGAAACTGAGAAGCAGACCTGCCCTACAGAGCAGGGTCGTACGTCTGAACAAGGGGAAGCCAGTCAGGGGCAGAGCCGTCAAGGCCGTAGGCCGCACGAAGTGTGTCAGTGAGCTGAGCAAAGCACTGACCCGGTGGGTGGCTGCGGCCACAGGGGAGGCCTCGGCGAGTACCTGTCTGGACGAGGTAGGTGCACGGAGGGTGTACGGCCCCGCGTGACAGCTGACACGATCTTGACCCCTGCCCTGGAACCTGCTGCAGCCTCTGCTGCTGCTGCAACAAGAGTGGCTGCTGCTGGTGCTGACGCTGAGTCAGGTACCAAGCCGCC